CATTCTTAAAGGTATACGACAATATCTTCTGTGAAAAGATGTAATGAAAATCGTGCGAGAAACATTGCACTTTGCGACATGTTCTTCGATCTATTGATAAGTTGCCAGATTTAAAACGTTAAGGAAAGCCAAACTGTTACACGTATGAATTTTATAGTGACTTTATATAAAGTTACTTAATTCTACTGAGATACAGAAAATTGATGGGAGTCAGATTTAGAAAATGAACACAAATTTCAGATAGCCACTAAAAAGAAAGAGTTTCTGAGATAAAAAACGATTCAGTAGAAGATACTTACCAATAGTTCTATCATTAAAAATACAGAAAAGAATATTGTAAGGGAAGAATAAAAATTATGAGTATAAAACGCAAAATTTTTTATGCTGGCTTCCAGAAAGGCAGTGCTTTTTTAAATTTCATATATACAAAAAACAAAATGTATAATAAATAATTTCAAAAAAGCAAATAGCAAAATTGCCAATTAGATTTTCTGACGCCAATCAGTCCTGAAAAGAACAAATTCTGAGAATTTGGTGTCAAAAGAACAAATGTGGCAACTCTATTGAATTAAGCAAGACCATGCATTGACAATTCAGGCTTGCCGACCGCTACATGACATGATCGAGATTTGAAGATACGTCGTGAAAATATTACCGATACATACTGTAGATAGAAGTATAAATAATAATTGGAAAAATAATTCGTCGAACTCTTATGCAAAATTTGGAAATAATTTTAGTAAACTTCGATCAGCTTTTAATCGTAACTACTAACGAAGGACGAAAGTTTCTTCTCTGGATCAATTTCTGATATTTATATGTCGTTTATAATAGTCTAATAAAGACAAATTTCAGATCAGATTAAAGTTTGTCCGGATGTCATACGAAAGTATATGACGCAGCACATGCATAAAACGTGTGTTCTGTGCAATTTACCAACACTCCAATGACGAAACTATAACCATCTTGTTTGAATAATGCCAATGCTTATTAGTTGTTATCTGTTATGATTGTGAACAAGAGTGTGACTGTATCCCGAATAGACGCCATTACGTCGATTTCTTATCTTTATTGAGAATTTAGTTCGTTTAAATTTTCTTTCCTTCTCTCAAATGTATACTTGTTAAAAATTATCATTTTTATTGTAAATAAGTTTATTTGGAATAAGGTTTGTTCTAAATTTTCTTAAGTTTTACCACCAAAAAATGATTAAATTGATTAAAAAACAATTATAAATTCGACAAAAAAAGAAAACTTTTTAGATGAATTAGTGAGTTATGCGTTGATATTTCCATAATTTTTTAAATTGAAGTAATTGCTGTCCTTTTTTTTCAGTTTTTACTCTTTCTGCCCTTTGGGACTAAAAGATCATCATAACAATCGCGATTTCGGCTTGGCCCAAAACGGGCTGGTAGTTTTGTGCAGGCTTCAACACATGGACGAGAAATGAGAAACGATTACAGATCCTCACTGTCTATGATGAATTATAAGATCTGGATAGGATTAGAACAGAATTTTCTACATGTTCTGAATATCTTTAAAATCAAAGTAGGCCAAATAACTGGGCGGTAAGACTGATTTTGAAGATATGTCTGAACTATATTTTTAAGGATCGTTATATTTACGGTATGTAATTCTTACGAAAAATGATTAAGAGACGAATAGCGTAGAAAGATTTAAATGTTCTTTTTACGAAGTACGTTTAGTCGAATGACGTTTTTTTCGATTTGCTATCGTAATTCTAAACTAGATATATTATATAAAAATATCGCAGTAAAACAGTTTCGTTAAACTAAAATAATACGAAGGCGGGCAACCGAACAAATAGTTAGAAGTTAAGAAAAATGCGTTTTATTTAAAAATAAATACCAGTTATTAAATACATTTGTTATAAGTGAACTCTACAAAATATCGTTTATAATCTACAGAATATCATTTTTTTTATTTAACGGATTTTTTCGTTATACTGTGTAATATGTTCAAATACAACAACAAAAAAATTTTTTTACCGTTAACATTTTTATTAACGGCTACCAACTCAGAACGAATAAAAGGCAGACTTCTTAACACAAGTAAATGAATTGATCATTAAATTAATAACATATTTAAGTTTATCGTCTTAAGACGTTTGTTCAATGACGAGATGCCGCTATTACTATTACTGCCGGAAATACTATCGTTTTTACGCGAGGAGCGATGGCTTATTAAACATTTAAAGTGAACTACCGAAGACTGGTTACAGAGACGAAATAGATAAACAGAAAAATGAAAATTTCTTTATGATTTTTACACACAAGTGTATATAATTAGGAATACATTTGAGGAAAAAAATATACGAGGTAACTGTAGTAATTTAATATTATTTTAATAAATTTTCATCCATTCGAATTAAAATTAACAAGATTGAGATATCTACAATTATTGATTTGTTTTTATAAGAAATTGTAAGCAATTATTTTCGAAATATTATTTTTATATCGTTTAGGGATTAGTATTACCGAATGGTAAGAAATTACCAAAGAATTTCGCAAAAGTACTTATATAAAAATCAATTTATTTTCAGTAATTACAGAGATAAGGGAAAAAACGATTTAGAAATTGATAAAGATTGTTAAATACGATATTCGAGGATTAGTTTTGATTGGCTCTTATAAACTAGAATAACTCCTACGTCTGGCCATCAAATTGGTCTTTATTTTAAATTGCAATAAAAAAAGAAAATGTTAAGCGATTAATATTATATAAATTTTAAATGTAAATAATTTTTTAACTTAGTTGATATTCTTTAATTTTCTCTTTGGTTAAGCGTAAATTGTTGTGCTTTACATCAGTCTTTAATAGACTGTATCGTTATTTCTTAATTCTCACCTGTTTGTTCTTCACTCGTTTTTAAAGAAAAATAAGAAAGTTGTTATAAAATTGTCATCTAGAAATGAAGAGCAACGAAAACTCTCGCTAGACTTTTAAAAGTTTTATTTACTCAAAATATAGGCCTATACGTCTAACTAAAATTCAAGAATTACCTATCTGTAACTTCGAAATGGTTAAAGGAACCAATCTATGTAGTTTTATTGTTATTAAAGTTATTTTTTAAAATTAAATTCCTCGTTATTAAAATGAAAACTCTTAAATTCTTTTTAAATATGCCAAATTATATTTGATTCTTATTATTCACGCTATTGCGGAATTACTTTTGGTATCTCGACCTCGACCGAAATGTAACGCTGGTCGAATTTCTGTTTAGTAATTTGTTAAACGTCTATAAAATTCTTTCGTTTTCTGTAAAAATAAGTAAATTGTTTATGAAACAATTTCGAGCGGATAATTTGCGATTTTTTTCTCTAGCTTTTATAGTCTTTATTCTAAAAAGTCCTCCTTTATGTCGTATATGATTTTATTCTTTTAAAGGTAAATGAAATAAATTAATATATTCGAAAATAATTCAATTAAATCGATATCATTCTCGTGTAAAATGATAATGAAATTCGCAGTTGTTCTTGTCTTTATACTAAGTATTTTATGTTATATGTTGACAATTCACTCAAACCTATAAAAGGTTCATTTTATATTTCATTTCCACTGAATACTTGTTATTACGTAATGTAACTTAACAGATGCAGACAAAATACAAAGTTTAGATTTACTTATTTAAGACTTAAACAAGTTATCACAAAGGAATTGTAAAAATGGAGTTTAAATTTTTTTTTAAATAAATATTAGAATAGGAATATTCGAGACTAACTATCGAATTTAATTATCCCTTAATTTGCAATTTATGAGTGGAGTTATGAGTATCGTTGACTTCGGTTTCACAAACGCTGAAGTACTGTACGCCCCATCTTCGATGCTACGTAACATAATCGACAGTACTATAACACGAGAAACTACGTAATATCGAAAAAGAATGCAATGTCGAGAAATGGGACGTAGTATCTCGACATTGCATCCTTTTTCGATATTACGTAGCACAATTGATCACGTAGTTTCTCGTGTTACGTAGCATCGAAGATGTCACGTACTGTACAGTACTTCAGAGTTTGCGAAACCGAAGTCAACGATACTCAGTCATTGAGTTCTTCCCATAATTCCTCTTAAATTTCGACAAAAAAAACGATCGCATTTGACAGTTAATTTGTGATTAAATATCCCGACATTAACAAAGCTACTATTTCATTAAAAATTTTATTTTAATTAAAAGACGGCATATTTTTTTAATGAAGTCATTGGACTTTTTAGATTTAGGCTATTTGCGTAATCTGAGTGTCATATTTCAAAAATGCGTCATTTTTTAAAGTCATAATATGTTTACTCAATATATAATATTTCGTCATCTCTTATGTTAAATAAAAAAGACGTATACAAAAGATAAATGGGACATATCTGTTCTTCGCATCGATCCTAAGGCAAATTCTTGAATGAAAATTCCATGATATTACATTTGTTCCCTAGAGATATAGCCTATCTGTAAAAAACTAAACTTAAAACTATGAAGAAAAATTACAATAAAAAAATAAAAATGAAAATAATCGTAATTTCTTCATTGGCTAATCCTACATCATGTAGCCTAAATAAATTTCCTTAATGTTTCGTTTATTATTTATCATCATTCAATTGAAACAGTTTATAAATAAATCTTACAGGCTGATACAATTGAATAATAACAGAATGTTTACTTTATTTACTTTATTTTAACTTTTATTTATATATTATAATAATAAATCTAAACTTTTTGTAGAAAATTTAAAATTAAGACGAAGTGTAAGTGTTTATTTCCGTTTGTTATATTTTTAAATATAGAAATATTTAATCGATAAAATTAATCTAGAAACTTTTAAACAAAACATTAAAGTAATTTTCATAGGTTTAGATATCGTCGTTTTCTACAAATTGCATCAAATCTAATGTATTTATCTATCGATGATTGGAATTTAAAAATATTTACTGTATATTAAATCTAATGAAAGAACATTTTACATTAACTTCAACAATTTTTATTACAGGAGGACAAACACTGAATAACGAATTATATTTCTCCAGATTACATCCGATTCAGGTAAATATTTTCAAAATTGTTTCGTAGTTGATCGTATCGAATTTTTTAAAACTAGTTAATAACTTATTTTGCGCCGTAAACGCTAGAAATTATATTTAAAGTTAACTATTAACTTCGCAAATAAAATTTTACTACACTTATAATAAACTTCGTCGTTAATTTTTTTTATGAACGTAAACATTCGATGATCTAGATGATTTTTTAACTTATCTTTCTATTTCAAATATCCGTTATTTTATTAATACTTCGTCGAAATGATAAATTATACTTAAAACAGAATACTTACTGAAAAATCTGTTTGCCATTTTCTTTACGTGTTTATTGTAATGTGACAAATAGACAAATTTTATATTCTCATCGTAAACCCAGGTTACTCTTAATTGTTATATCTGAATAGAAAAAACGTAGCTTAGTTTAACGAAGATAACAATTACTACAGAATTGTTTGTCTACTAAAACTAAATTAAATCTTGACGATAAATTTTTAGTAATTGTCTTATACAAAAGCGCAATTCATTTATCGTTATGGCTTACTATTTTTTCAATAAATTCTCTATTGAAGAATTTATAGAGAAATTACTTCGAAAACAGGACGTCATAATCCGTAAATAGAATTTAGAACTGTGAATAGGAAGAACTAAGTGCATCTTCGATTCTTTAATTTCAATTATTTTTATTTTTATTTACAGTGGCTAGTGGATAAACCACTGAACACTGAAGGTGGCGGTTCGCGCCTCTCCAGTGAAGTTTTTCGGCTTTTTTTCGCGTGTCTTAACATTTAAATAGCAGCCAGTTTCCCTCAGTCTTCCCCATCTTTTGGCAAATCACCCACATGTTGCGTTGCCGTATTCTATGAGATCAAACCAAACCAATTTGTATTTATTTATTGTTTAATTTCTCTTGCGTGAAAAGGAAATAATTTGATTGAATTCTTTAATTGCGTGCGTACGAGTATTGGTAAAGTTTCGCTTCGTTTTAATCCTTTCCGTAATTTTTTCCGGATTAAAGATATTTGATAATTGTTTAGTTATTCTTTAGTTTCCGCAACAAAAATTAATCAATTTAAATGAAACACAAATTGATTTGTTTAATTTAGAACACAGNTTGATAATTGTTTAGTTATTCTTTAGTTTCCGCAACAAAAATTAATCAATTTAAATTATAATTATTTTTAGAACAAATTTTAATAATTTTGTCGAATAGCAAATAACTTTTTGTTTAGATACGAGGTATTTTAAGAAGTACTGTATTAAGAAAATATTTTAAAATACCCCGTTTAATTAATATCATTAAAATTATAAGTAGAGTCTAAAAAAAATTACATTTCTTAATTTTTAACTAGAATTATTTTTAATGTTTTACGAAATTTTTGTAGCCGGTCTCTTATCTTTATCTGGAACAGGGACGAAAGTGTGTTGTGTGGTAAATTGCTAAACAAATTCCATTCGGCAAACGAAAGTTCAAAAACAATTTAAAATTTGAAGCGAATTTTAGTATTAGAACTTTTGTTGGAACTTTTTATTTAACAAATTCTGGACTTAAAATTCATCTGTTGACTACAAATAAAACATTTAATTTAATTTTAAATTTAATAAATTTAAGTATGGATTTTAAATAAGAATTCTAAATTAATATTACAAATTTCATAAAGAAATAAGTGAATAAATTTTGCGATAAAAATTCTCGTTAAAAACTATAAATACAAATGAGCGATTAATTATTGTGACATCGTCACAATGCCGGGCTGCAATTTTTAATCATATTTTTAATTTATTTACTTTAAAACATATGCTTTCCATCTCAAATTAGTAGTGTGTTGCTCCTGTACGTACAGTACATCATACAGTACTTATCTACTAGAAATAGAGTGGTACCGGTTATCTATCTAACTCCTTTCAAGAAAAAATTTTGAACGAAAGTAATATGACTTCCGATGCAAATTGGAAGTTGGTATATAATTAATCGGGACCTCCTGCCTCTTAGGTTTTCATATCTAGTTTACATTGCTATCTATTTAACTCTGTTCTCGAAGTTAAGTGAGGACACACAGACGGACGACAATGGAAATTTAAGGTCTATAACTTTTTAAAAATTTTATCCCAATTGTAATAAAATGCTAGTCTGTTTAGGTCAGCATAAAAAATAGAAATAAGCATTTAGAGATAATAAAAATACTAACAGAAGTTATAATATTCTTAACAAGGTATTTGTAATTATTTTTCGGTGATGAAAGCGACGAGTGACAGAACACGAAGCGGCTGTAATGGATGTATGCGGATCGACACAGAGCTTCGAGAAGATGGGAGTGGCCGTTAATCAACAATTGCAACAAGTTACAGTTCATCCAGACACTTGGGTCTTCGTTACTCGATGCACGGCCGTAGGCAAACCCTGTCGCGGCGTTAAAGGTAAGTCTCTTTAACTGAACACTAACTACTAACTAAAACAATCGAATAAATTTTAGCATTCATTTTATTTTTATAATGAAGGTAAAAAAATATTGTAAAGAGATAACCGTAGAAAGTATATGTACAATACAACTTTCTATGATATATAACTATAGAATACAAGTTATAAACAAAGCTTAAGCTCTATATAGACTTACATCACAAATAGTTATATAAATTGATTGTAATCTTGACGACTTCTTTATTTAACTTCACTTAGCATCTAGAACTGTAGGATTTTGTATCAAAGTAGATAATCTTTTGTCAAATTTTCACGAGAAGACACAAAAATATTTAAACAAATTTAGGCGATACGATTCTCCGAACGATAAATAAACTCGGAAAGGATAGGCCTGTGCTTACTTACAGGGTTGTCGAGATGAAGAAGCTGTGGAAAAATCCCCAGCTGCTTCCTCTCGTTAAAATTAACTTGTTTGAAATAACTAGTCGAAGAACAGAGAAATTGCATCAAATCTTTCTTTTACTCAGTTCTATCCCAGCAACTTCAATTGAAACAGAGAAAGCTTTTTCTGCAATAAGACATTTCGTCACAAAATTGAGTCCGATTGTGTGACAACACCTTCGACAATAAATGTTTCTTAAGGCAATACTTTAAATCTGGTTAATTTTATGTTTGTTTTTTGGAAATTTTGTAAAATTTATTATTTTTTCATTTATTTAATTTTCGCTTCTTTAAAAAGACAAATGTTTTATTTTTTCAATGAAAATAAGTAAACAGATAAAATTTAATTCTTTTGTTTCTAATTTTCTATTGGTCGATAGCGGGTTTTCTTTAAAATCAAACTTTTATATAAATTTGATTAAAAATAAAAATGTGAATTCATCCCGAGAATTCCGGAATTTATTACGGTATTTTCCTCTTTCCCAGGAATGATAATTGCCTGGAGATTGAGAAAAACTTTACTTCCTACCCCTATAAAATTAGTATTTATTTTACTAACAGAAAATAAAATTGTTAAGATTGCTTGTTATTAATAAATAAATAAATATTCTATGTATTTCATTTGTTCAAATAAAAAAAAAAAAAAATGAAAACGTGACCCGCTCTACTTTCTAGGCCCATACAAACTCTCATGCTTCCTTATTTATTCCAATTATTCTCCAATCTCTTTTGATTAATTTCATTTAATTAAGAGTGTTATATTATTTATTCTCACATAGTTATTCATTGCTTTATATTGTTAAGTCTAGTACAGTACAGTACATAAATAGCAACGTCGTTAAAGTCAGAAAGTTCGTACGCTTTTCGTTATACGCAACAGTAAATAAAATAATTCGTTATCTACGGATCTTTTAGTCATTTTTCTTATTCTTATAGGCAATTTTCTTTTTTTCTTTTTTTTTATTCTCTCTCTCTCTCTCTCTCTCTTAACCTGAACATAAATTCTCCTCCATGAATTAATCAAATATTTCTTAAAGTTTTTAGAGAATTTCGTTGACTTACTACTACTACTGTATTATTTGATGACTAAACTGGAAAAATAGATGTAATTACTGTATATACACTACTAATGTTCAAAATACAGTAAAATAACATTAATGATTGTCCTATCTCGATTTATTTATACGTCTCTATTTGATATTCTTATTCTAAAAAAATGTGAATGTACTGTACATTTTTAAAATATGAGAATACGAAGTAATTATAGCATCGTTTTTTACAAGAAAAATGTTGCAATTAGTAAAACTTTAAACCACCAAATCGTAGTTTAGAAATTAGCAAATTCTTTAAACTGTAGCTTACAAAATCGATATTTTTTCATCGTGTTATTAGTAAGATTTTACCCGTGGGACTGGAAGAGATTAGTTCGATATCTCCTCCACATAAAAATAATTATAAAAATAGGAAACGATTATAATCTAAAATTCTAAATTGTAGCATTCTCTTGAAGATAACTGAAAGTTTCGTTTAGTGTATTATGACCGAAAACATAAATAAGAAAGGTTAATTTTTGTTTTATTTCTGACAGATTCGGACTATCAATGCCAACTTAAAATATTTTCATTTAGTTTTATTTTTTCCGTGATATCCAGAAATTAACGAATAACTATTATTGGTAAATAAAATATGTCAACTGAAAATAATCTTATCCTAAGCATTTTTTAAAATAAAAACTTTTCGACGTCTTTGATATAAGTCAGTATTAATAAAAATCAATTATATTTTCTAGAAATTTTGTAGAAATTTTTTCGAAGAAAAGTGAAAACTCGGAAACAAAAAAGGAGATTTCAGAATTAAATGTCAACTTTTATAATTTGCACAAACAAAACATTTTTATAAGTTTTTCCTTAACGAATTTTCCGAAAATATTATTAAAAGATGATCGAATATGACGACATTCAGAATATCGAAGAAGTTTTTCGTCCTGTTCAAATCCGAATTTTCAGAAATGGTTAATAATGGATTTAATATTGTTTCAGAAATGGTTAATAATGATTTAATATTGAAGTAAATCTATTACTTCTTTCCATTCCTCTTTTAATCGAATCGAATTGAATCTTCAAAACGCACATAGATTATTCGATAATGAGAATGCAAATCAGTTAGCTGAACAAACTACAGAGAGGCATCTTAAAATGATACACACCATTTCAAATACTAAAGTAAAAACAGAAATTAAAAGAATAAACTCTCAGTTTAACATATACAACACTCTCAGATTCCAAATTTAAAAAAGTAATAATTACTTCATGGTTTCAATAGCCACGCATTCTTGATCAAATTATTATACGTAACATGTAAGCTTACTGTATAGACCACAGGTTCTCAAACTTATTTCGACCACCGCCCACTTTGAAATTAAAAAAAATATATAGTACCCCATATTTTTTAACTTACCATTTTACATTACCATCTGTTGCGTATCTTAAAAACAGTTATTGCAAATATAATGTTTAAACATGCATTATTATATGGATAGGATAGATAGGGTATAATCCATATCCTATTTCTGAGATCAAAGAATGTTTCAATGAGAAGAAATAAAACTCACATTTAATCACTGAGCTTTCTACTGTCCCCAAAAGCCTTCAGCGTCCACAAGGAAACGTTATCGCCCACTTTGAGAAAGGATGACATAGAAGAAGTCTTTTGTTTTAAATTTCAAATTGTTGGTCGTCCAATTCGCGCAATTTTTTCTTAAAGTGTTAATTTTCTTTCTACAGTTTTGTCATTTCTTTGGATTTCTTGCTTTCTGGGATATCAGATCTTCGTCCTCCCTGGAGATCCGACAGCCAATCCACACGTGGTCACTTTGAGCATTTAGCCACATTTTCTTGCCCTTTGAAAATTGTTTGTAACTTATTAGCTTTTAGATTTAATAGCATTCTTGTTCTGGTTTTGCTACGGAAACTCTTAGATGGCTCATTTGCTGCTATCACTGGTCAACAGGTCTTTCGAAGTAGACGTCTATGCAAGTGTTACTTTGTCACTTTTCACCTCTGTAATCTACCTCTCATCTCTGTTATTCTATTTTTTCGCTGTATCTTTTCGATCCTCCTCTAAAGAGTAAATCAGTAACACGTTATCCTATGGGCAAAAAAGGGCAATTGCCTGGGGTTTCCACCAACAGGTGGCTTCGAATCAATCTTTTATAAACTCATTATAGTATTGTAGTAAGAATATCAAAGTTAAAATTTGGTTCATATCTGAAAACCAAGATTGCAGTGTAGCGCAGAGCAGAACTTAACCTTTCAGAGGTAGCATTAAAAAACGATAGGGGATATAGGGAAATGCTTTCAAAAAATGCCCCCGAAGAAAAATTCCTGAAGTCAAAATTATACATGGGGCTCCCTAATTCAAATTTTCCTAGGCTCCATGAAGCTGTAACGCGCCACTGGAGCAAATCACTCAAAGGCTCAATGTAAAGGGAAATGAGTTCGCTTCTAATTGAATTTGATCTTTTCTAATTAATAGAAAGACGAAATGTGATTTTCCGCCCTTACATTTATTAATTTCTTTAGAAAAGAAGTGATTTGTTCAAAAATAAATATTCAATTACTAAATTTATTCGTTTAGAACCATTTAAAGGCGATTTTATATCTTGAACATAAATAATATAAATCGTCGGAGGAATTTATCTAACAAAGTACCGCTTGTTATCTATTCATAGTCAAAATGACAAAATAGAGAAATTCAAAAGAACACGATCAAAGTACAGTGCATATTCTTAATCCACGAAAATAGAAACAGATACATCCTACTTATTATACTTAAATCCATTATTGGGCTATGATTTATCATCATTTCAAAAAAGTCGACGAACGTATTAAATGGGATGCAGAAATTTTAAAGAAGAAACTTCTTACAATAGGAAGTATTTTAGCTTAGAAATGGTAGACATATATATCATATAATTTCGAAATGACTTATGTTAGGGCCACACACAGCACTAATGCTACGTACAGTAGAGTACAGTACTCAGAGTTCTGTGAGGCCGTAGCATTAATAAACGATAAAAACCTGATAAATTACGTGTAGATCATATAAAGTGTGCGCGAAAAATAAATTTTTGTTCGGAACTTTTTTAAACATAACTTTTTGGGATAAATTTGAATGAAAATCGTAGACCGCCCGTAAAGTTTCGATTTTTATAATAACGTTGGAGAAACTTTCCAACATTAACCTGTAAAGTATTTCTCTTGGTAAAGGCAAAAAGTAAATCGATAACAATTTATTTTACTAAAATATAAATAGGCTAAAAATATAGACAAAGAAAATATCGAACTTACAAACTCGTATTAAATGTTATTGGACATTTAAGAAAATGCATTTATGTTGTTTCATTATACATTATGTCTGTATAATGTATTTACCTATTATATTAAAAAGATAAGTGAAAATGTTTTTTATGTTATCGAGAGTCACTGCAATGACTCCGCGCAAAATAAAGTCACAGACTGACTATACAGAATGTTTCATTTAACTTGAGACTGTGAAA